GCTTACTTTTGCAAATAAAATCCATCAAACATTCATTTACAACTCTTATATTTAGAGATAGCAGATAGCACATATTGTACGGAGGAAAAATTTTGATGTTAACTAAATTTTTTATTAGATCTTCAGTTTGTTTTGTGTATTTTTTACATTCGAAGAAAATGTGATTTAGATCCCCTTCTTTTTGACAGTCTGGACATAAATTTGAATTTACGATTTTTAGTTTGGACAGATGACTAGGATAGCAGGCGTGTCCAAATTTTATTCTAATTATGGATGTTATATACCTTCGTGGAACAGAATAATTTTTGAACCAATAATCACTTGGGATTGAAGGCTGTATAGAAGCATATTGCGAGGAAGAATGCGTACTATATGTATGCCAAGATTGTTTCCATTTACTATTGATATTATTTTTAATTATTGTTAATGCGTCTTGTCTACAGATTTGGTGACTAGCTTGCGTTCCGGTATCAATGGCCTTTTTAGCTAATAGGTCAACATGTTCGTTGTATTTAAGACCTATATGTGCTTTAACCCACAAAAAATGAACAACTCTTCGGTTTTTATAAATGTCATAAACAAGTTTTTTAATTTGAAAGACATATATATTTGAGTTATTACTAGGAAAATTTAAAGTTTCAATGGCTAACATAACAGACAATGAGTCAGATACTATTGTAACAGATGTATTCTGAGTGTTTTCAAAGTATCTTAATGCTTCATATATTGCTACACCTTCAGCACTAAAGATTGAAAAACTAGGATTTAATCGATAAAGTTTTTCTGTATTAGTTGATGGAATGTAGAAAGCACATCCAGTACCAACAATAGACTTTGAGGCATCCGTATAAATAACTAAAGAGTCTGACAGACTAGATAAATAGGACCTCAAAATATTCGAGCTAACAGAAGAATTTACATGGTAATTTGGTTGTATCACAGTAATGGGTTGCAAGCACGAATAAAAATGTTCGATGTTAAGATTATCCTCTGATTTAAAGTTTTAATCAAAATTTGTCAGGCTTCTAAAAGCCTCACAAAGTGGAGGTGAGTTCTTAAGTCTCCAATATCGATTAGTTAAATCTTCTTCGTTCAATTTTCTGATATTTGAGTAGAGAGTAGTGTTACGATTTTGTATATTAATAACAAACTTTTGACTGAGGTATTCTCTTCTATAGCCCAAGGGATTTTCCAGAGCTTCCACATGTAGAGCATTAATTGGCGTCGATTTCATGGCACCTAAACAAATACGCAATGCTGCGTTTTGAAACACATCTATTGTTTTCAGAATATATTTACTTGCTGAACCATATAATATGCATCCATAATCGATAATTGATCTAATATAAGATCGGAAAAAAAGCAAAGAAGTTTCCACATCTGCACCCCACCATGTTTTTGTAATTGATTTGAGGAAATTTAGACCCTTCTTACATCTATCTAACATAAACTCAACGTGAAGTTTCCAAGTTAACTTACGATCGAGAATCATTCCCAAATATTTAATTGAAGAACTGAAATTAAAATCATACCCATTCAATTTTACCTGATTTAGTTTTGGGATATTGTGTCGAGTGAAGATACTAATACTTGATTTACCTGATGCAATTTCAAACCCATTTAGTTTGAACCAATTTTTGGATCTATCATGTATTTTTTCTAAAGTTTGAATGCAGTTATCGTATTTTTTGGTAGAAGAATACATAAGAAAGTCATCAGCATACTGTATTATTTTAAAGTTGATATTTTTAATGAAAATGTTATGTAAATCTGCAGTATAGATATTAAACAATAGAGGGCTTAAAACTGATCCCTGCGGTAGTCCCTGTTTATTATAACGAGGACCTATAAGTTTATTATTGTTTGTTCTCAGGTAAATTTTTCTGCAGGAATAAAAGTTAAGAATAGTGTTTACCAATTGTGGTGGTATATGAAAATTTTTTATTAATTTTTTCATTAAAATATCGAGACAAACACTATCATATGCTCCTTCTATATCTAATACTATTGTCGGTAAATAAATATTACTTGAGAAGGAGTTCTGAATGTCCGTTACTAGTTTGCTTTTTTAATATTCCATTTACTTTTAGGTAAAATTTTTTCATTTGAATGGGAGGCGTTAGCAACTGTTATTAAAATAGGGTAATGGTTCGAACCAAGTGTATCTAAGAAAACAGTCCATGTAATTTTTTTTGCAATATCTGAAGAACTAAAAGTAACGTCTAACATAGAATCATTAACACCAGGCCGATTTAAACATGTAGGTCCACCAGTGTTCAATATTACTAACTCTAGATCATCTGCTACCATCTCTAGTTGCTTTCCAATATTATCATTTTTTTTAGATCCCCATAATACATTATGTGCATTCATGTCTCCACCTATTATAAGGGAGCTTTTACTTGAGAAAAAACTTTAACCCAATCATCTGTTTTAGTTTTAGTTTTTGGTGCTCGATAAATTGATAAAAAATTAATCGAATTTTTTCCATAATTTACTGCACATCCACAAACTAGAATTTCATCATTAAAATTGCTAAGGATATTTATTTCTTTAAAATTGAGAGTATTTTTAACTAGAATGGCTACTCCACTATAGCCATCATCACGATCTTTCCGAATGAGGTTATAACCTTTAAAGCTGTATGCTACATTTTTTTTAAACCAAGTTTCGCTCAATAAAACAATATCTACACTTTCTTGTGATAAAAATTGAACAAAAGAATTTTTATTAGATATTACAGAACGTGCATTCCATTGCATAATCTTCAAGAAAATTATTTATTTGCAAAAGTACCCTAAAATACTAGGCTAATATCATGCTTAAGAGTTTCGTTATTTATATTTTTTATATCATCGATAGTTTGTATTTTATTAAAAAAATTATCAAAATATGTAAATAAAGATTTAAACAAGTTATTTTTAATAAATTCGATATCATCAGTATTTGTTTTATGTGGATTGAATGACAGTGATTTAGATGGACCGAATTGAAAAGGAAATAAAGGAGGTTGAGTGGGAGATAACATGATAGGAGATCCTGCTTTACGTTTCTTTCTAGTGCTTTCAAAATTATCTATATTCCTAGATGTACTAGGTTGACGTAGAGACATATTATTTTGTACACGATATTTTCTTGGCCAAATAGGTTCGGATGAAGAAGATTGTTGATTTGCAGTTAAAGAAGGAAAATTTTCATCAAGGTTAGTCAGAAGTGAGAATTTGTTATTCCCTGCAAAGCCGGCAAAAGAAGATTCACTAAAAGATTTTGCTTCAGTGTATGAAACTTTATAACTAAACATAATGTTTTTAATTTTCTTTTGAGTGTCATAATAAGGGCATTTTTTATCTATAGATACGTGTCCACTGGTATTACAATGTATGCAGAATTTATCTTTTTGTTCACATTTGTGATTTTGATTTTTTTCTGAACCACAGTTAATGCATGCAGAGGAAGTACTTTAACATTGTTTGGATACATGCCCAAACTTCAAACAATTGTAACATTGTGTTACACGACCAACAAATTGTTCAATTGGAAAAAAGACTCTGTTAATAGATATTTGTCCAGGTAAAATATTTCCTTCGAATGTGACAATAATCATTTGTTTAGGTTTATATTTTATCTCATTATTTTCTTCTACTCTGCGGTGCATTCTCCTAATTTGTAGTACTTTTGCTGTCGATTCAATGTTTTCACACAAGTAATCCATATCAAACTGTGTATCCACACCTCGTATAACACCCTTTACTTCCAAAAGATGATTTGGTATATAAGCTCTTAGATTCTCATTTTTTAAATTACAATTTTGTACTAAGTCGTTTGCATCCTTTAAATTTTTTAATATAACTTTAATTCTATTTCTACCAATGCTCTTAATTTCAATTATATTTGGCACTTTTAATTTTTTATGTAAGATATGGCCAATTGATAAGGGATGTAAACGTCCTAGATTGTCATTGTTTATACTTTCTATATAAACATGAATAATATTAAAATTATACTTATCTGACAAAACATTGAACAGACGAGTTTCGTTTGTGTGTGGTTTATCAGAAGTTTTTTCGCCCATGTTTTGATTGCCTTTTAATGAGTTTATATCCGTGTCCATTTCTACATTACTAATATGAATTTGATTTTCAATTACACTAATCTCTTTGTTTTTTAAAAAAACACCCGCACAAGTTCTAGGATCACTAGACTCCCCCATTAGGGGAGTCTTTTAAAACAATTGTATAACTTTAAATGTATATGTTTATTTACAAACACCTAAACTAAAAACCTAAATACGTCGAAAACCGGTTGGTTCTGTTTACAACGGAGCTAATTATTAACGTCCTAATTGTCCGAAGTTCGAATCGATACTGATCTTTAGGGTTGGCAAGCACGTTCTTTAGTATTTAGTTTGTAGTGTATTTACTAGTGTTGATTTATTTGTTTAAACGCTTTCAGACAGCCCTCAAAAGAGTCTACAGAAAAAACAAAAACGGCCACGACCAGCAAAAATTAATAAAACACTAATAAAAGTTGCAAACTACAAAAAAAAATACTAACAAAACACAGCAAGATCAAACAATATGCATATCGAAAAAAGTAACTAGAAATAGCGGAAATGCGATTACGCTGGTCTGCATTGTTTGGGGTAAGATTTTCTGTGCTTATATCCAGGACTCCCGCATGATAAGAACTTTACTGATAAGACAACATTGACAGCGCATCCGAGTGTTATCGGGAGGAAAGTAGATGGTCTGGAGCTTTGGGTAGGGGTGGAGTGATTCCTGATTACACGAGTTAATCCTCTTTGCCTCAATGAATTGCATCACCCGAATGCCACTCTTAAGGGGTGACCAAGTGTCTCAGGTTAAGTTAAACACTATTGCTTGCTTGTTTGGGGCGAACATCTATATTGTTTTACGTAACCGAAATATTCAGGAAGGAATAAATCTAGTCTACGTATAATAAAATTATAGTTACTAAAAATTCATTATATCCATATTTACCTTCACCCATTTATTGTCCAATACTTGATAAACTTTGTTAAAATATGGTCTTAAAGCTAATCGTCCATATTTACTATAAATCATATTTCTTTGAGTTTCAATGTATTGCACAATTTCAGCCTTTTTATTTAAAATATTCATTATCTACAATATTAAAAGAACAATTAGTTAATATTTTTACACTTAAATGATATATGTGTAGATATCCCATGGACGTATAAACATAGATGGACTCAGTTATTTACATAATATTGTGAAGTCAAAATTATTTGAATAGGTCACATTCTCAGCACCTTCAACTGTTGTCACGTTTTGTCTTATTCGCGAGTCGCTGAAAATATTACTCCGTATTTTATACTCTACAGGTGCTATTAAACCAAAATAATAATTTATTGGATAGATTAATATATTTAATTGTAATCAAAATATAAAGTGTGCACATAGTGTGCATTATCATTTAATAGTAGCGTATAATAGATATCAATCAATTATTTTATATGTAGAAGCACTGAAAACTATTTATAAATGGCAACGGTAGTTTACATTTCTCTGTCTTATGGATCTACGTTAAACTTCAAAGGCTGTTCCATGTTTATTTACTTTTTAGTAAAAGTTGTTTTTCGATATTTTGGCTGTATTTTGAATGATATTTGTGAAAAGTGAAATAAAATAAACGAAATATTTACATCCCGATCTCTAATTTCATTTGTAAGTACATACAATTTACATTATTTAAGATAAGGAAATGAGGAAGCGTGTTTGTTTACATTTTAATAGGCGTACCATTGGGTTTATTCATGTTCGTTAATGTATTAAATAAGATATATGTTCATGAAATTAGTAGACATTTTTAAATTGTAAGTAGACATCGTCTGATTAAAAAAGATCTACTTAGTACCTTTTTAATCTAATATTTCTCATGGATGCAAATAAATTAGTGAAATGAATAAAACTCATTTATTTTTCTATGTAGGTTTCCAAATAATATTGACGATCGAACTATTTTGGTAGCAAATTTAGGAGAAAACATATTTTTAATGTAGCATTATTTTGATACCTGATAATAATTAACTTGAATTCAACTATATTTTATTGTATTAATTTTAAAGCAGATAAAATTGTATTTTAATTTTTCTATAAAGACGTGATTTGATAATAGTTAAACTCTCGTTTTTTTAAAATTCTTTGAACGTGTTTTTATACATTATACTACTTTCAATTTTTAAAATCTGAATAATTACCCGCGAGTAAAAATTCAAGCACGCTTATGCTCATTGCGGAAGCATCACATTCTATCGAAGCTTCAAAACATTGTGTGTTAAAGGTATCTTATTGCTGTGTCCATCTATGTTTATACGTCCATGAGATATCCCTATAAACATCCAAGGCACTTTGATACACAAGCAATATCAGCAGATATTTTGTATACATAATTTGATCATTTATTAATCTTTAATTAATATTATAACAGTTTTGGTCTTTGGATCGAAATAATAATACGAAAATAAAATTTCGATCCTATAGATTATGTTTGTATGTCCGCCCGTCCGTCCCTTCCGTCCGTCCGTGTGTGGTGTCTTAGATTAAAAAAAATGTAATTATTAGAAAAAATCTGACGACAGATTCGGATTCAGCACTAACAATATACATTTCGTAAATTTTACATTTCACATGATTCATATTTTTCAAAAATTGTCAAAACGGACATACTCACTGGTTTTGAGAAATTTAATAAAAACTGTATAACTTGACGTGACGACAAATATGTACACTTTTGACTGATTCGTGATCAGCGTGGAAAAATACGTCTAAAAACATGTCTCGATTAATTTCCGATTATAAAAATTTTTCATTTCAATGAAAATTTTTGTTGACTTCCGGTTTTTTCGATCAACAACTTTGCTTGCAAAATAAAGGTTTGCACAAAAAAGACTTTTACACCGATAACGATTTGTCTCCTTTCATAATTCATTTTCGTTGTTTTATATTTAGGCTCGTACTCTCTTATTTTTTCATGGCCCTGAACTGTAAAAACAAGGGTAGGGGGGGAATAGTGGCCATGAAATAAATACATTTACGGCCTAATATTATTTCGCGTAAAATACCTACCTGTTGCGCCATCTAACAGTGTTTCTTTCAAACTGTACCTAAAACAATGACGATGTTTTGCCGGCAAAGAAGGAATTTTTGAAAATGTCATATTTTGTTAGAGTTGATGTATTAGTGCAAGATTTTAAAGGTATGTAGAAGTATGTAACTAAGTTTATTTAGCTGCATAATTAGTACCTATTTGTTAAATTTTTAACTTAGTTTAAGACTATTTAAAAAGTTCTTGCTCTAATTTAAGTGATTAATGATAATAAGTCGATCAGTATAAATATGTATTTTGGGGTTATAATAGCACGCGCCTGGAGGTAATGCTGGCCAGCCACTATAACCTCCAAATTGTATTTATGTAATACAGAGTATTTTGTTATAAATTCTTATATTTCAGATGCATCGAGTTTACAAGAGAAAAAGTGACAAGGCACGATGGAATGATGAGCAACTTAGTGCAGCAATAAATGCAATAAATAATGACAGAAGCATCCGTCAAGTTGCAAGTAGTTTTGCAATTCCCAGATCTACAATTCAACTACGACTAAAGCGAAATGACACAACAGCTGCTTCTTTATGTCGTAATTCTGTATTTACCAAAGAACAAGAAGTTTTGACAAAGCAGGTCATAAAGTTATCAAAACATTTTTATGGGATAACTCCCACAGAAATAAAAAAATGTGCCTATAAATACGCTGAAGAAAAAAATTTACATCGTCCATTTTCCAAAGAAAAAGAAATTGCTGAAAGTAAGGGCTTCCTTAAAAGAAATTCAACTATTCGATTAAGAAAATGGGAGGCGACAAGTATTAACCGCATATCTGCTTTTAACAAGACTGAAGTAAACCTATTTTTCTTTAATTTCAAATCCATATTGGATAAATATAAATTTTCGGCATTCAAAATATATAATGCAGATGAGACAGCCATAACAACCGTCCAAAAATCAAAAACCGTCCGAAAAGTGCCCAAAAAGAGTGAGCTTTATTACAAGCGCAGAAAGAGGTCAAACAGTAACCATTATGTGCTGCATTAGTGCCTCAGGAACATATATTCCACCTTTGTTTATTTATGCCCGTAAAAGAATGAAACCAGAGTTAAAGAAAAATGGGCCACTTGGTGGAGTCTACTGCTGCTCGGATAATGGGTGGATAAATGAGCAAATATTTCTCGAATGGCTCCACCATTTTTACAGTGTTGTAAAACCTTCAAAGGAGGATCCAGTTTTGTTAATCGTCGATAATCATAGTAGTCACTGCACATTGAAGACATATAATTTCTGTAAAGAACGAGGAATTATTATGTTAACCATATCCCTGCACACATCGAATCGACTCCACCCGCTGGATGTAGCTTTTTACTCATCGTTAAAATCAGCGCATAAAATTGAATGTGGCAATTATATTTGAAGTCATCCTCATGAGCGTATCACGACATTTGAAATAGCTGAAATATTTAAAAATTCATACGGTCGCGTAGCCACACCAGTCAAAGCCGTTAAAGGTTTTAAGAATATAGGAATATTTCCATATAATCCTGAAAATTTTACCGATGAAAACTTTGCTTCAGGTTAATCCTTCATACAAGAAAAAGATAAATAGACACCAGACCAAGAGAAAACAACTGGATTAAATAAGGAGAAGAATAATAAGGAAGTTAAGAGGAATAAAGAAAGTTCGACACATGACAAAAAGTTTGAAGTATCTTTTGTTGACATAATTTTACTACCAGGATACTCAAGATATGACTCAGTTGGAAATAAAAGATTAAACGACAAAAGCAACATGAAGCAACATTTCGAAATAATCACATCAACACCAATGAAGTTACTTCTAGAAGAAAAACAGCGGAAGAAGGAAGAACAAATGAGAAATAAAGCTAACAAAATAACCAAACGAAAAATAGGCATTGAAGAGTTCAATCCTTCGCGAATAGTTTCAAAAAGAAATTGTATAAGAACACGATGAGGATGATGACGATGACCGTGATAAGCACGTTAACGAAGATATTTGCACAATTTGTGGCGAATTTGGTAAAACCAGAGAACTCTGGATTCAATGCAGAATTTGCGGCCAATGGGCACAGAAAGACTGTACCAGTTTCGAAGGCAAAATTTACATTTGCGATTTCTGCATTTAATTATTTTTTATATGGGGGTAATAGTGGCAACGGCCACTTTTACCCCTCGGCGGCGGTTAAATATTGTTCTGTTTAAAATGGTTCTATTTTGTTCTATTTTGTTGTGTTTAAAAAATTTTTCGTAGAGTTTGAAGTGCTAAGGTTTGAAGTTTTATTTACGCAATTTAAACAGTATAATTTTTAAAGGTATGTAGCAGTATAAATAAACCAAAATGCTTAGGCGACCACTATTTCCCCCTTCCCCTACTGGTCCACCGTAGAATATTCAATTATTTAATTTAATTTATGATTAATTAGTAAAATAGTTTTTCATTTGAATCTATTCACTGTATGTTTCCATAGCATCATTTGGAGTACTTGTAATAAGAAAGGCACTTTATACAAAGACCCTCATATTAGATTTCATGAGAGTATTTTGTGCAAATTGGAAATTTTTTTGAAATTTATTTATAAAAAAGGTAAAGAACATTACAGTTTTCTCTTTGTAGTCCATAAAATCTTCTCTGCAGGGGTGAGAAATGATGAGTTTAGGTTTTTGACTAGGCTTATATGATTTTTTGTCATATTATACCGGCATGATGTTGATCCATTCGCCACCATTTAGTCTACTTAAATCAAATGGCAACATTTTTAAAACGGTTAGTATAAGACGGTCTTAGTATAGCTGTTTAGAGAATCCACTGCTAACATTAAATTGACCAGTAGGTATACTCTTCATCTAGGGCATTAAAACCAACTTAAATTGATTTTATACATTTTGGAACTATGTTTAATGTAGCTATAAAGAACATAAAGTATATATACCTGTGCTTATTACATATTGAATTATTGATTTTTGATCTTAAAATTTTTCTTGTAATTTGTTATATTGTGCTTACCCTAGTACTTCTTAGTTTTAATAAATTCCTTAATATTCTTCCCATACGTTCCAATAACAAACCATAAACGAATAAACTTGCTATTGAAGAAGTTAACCAGAGTAAACTTGTGACGTGGGGAACACGTATTCCAAATATTATGTTTATTGTCATCATTACACCAATAAAGAAACCCAATGTGCACCTAGAAAATCAGTAATATATTAAAATTAAATAAAATAATATATACTTATACAATTTAGGTGTTTTAATTTTAGTAAATTTGGAATTTGGATGATGTTACGATAAAAGATAAATTTAAATATTTTCTATTGTCTTCATTAGGGATTTCTTAAATATTTTTTGCCAATAGATACAGGTTGAAAAATAAATGTGTAACTAAGCTATATGTGTACCTGCCCTGCCTCTGAGAGATAATAAAAAAAATTATCCAGAGAGGAAAATAGTACCAGATGTAATACAACCTAAATATACTTTCGAAAAGCTGTTTACTAGATAGCTCTAAAACCCATGAAGTAGTTGAAGCTGGAGTAAATGGAGAAAAACCAAGACTAAGTATTAGTGAAAGCCTAGGTAATGACTCCATTATCTTATAAGCAAAAATATATGCTATAGAGATAATAGCTATAATAATGTAAGTGTTACGAACATGCTTTCGGCATGTCCTATGTAACGGTTGCATCTCGAAAAGGCGCCGAGAACCTTCGCGATGTATCGAGTGCTGTAGAAATCCATTTGTCAAACAACGAATTAGAGGTGGGACTACCCCAGAAGATTCAAGAATAATACTTTTTGGTATATTACATACGTAACGATGTTAGGAGTGAGTTTAGTTGTTAAGATATTACCGAACTGTAAACTTATAAATAAATATATTTATATAAATTCGAACCGCTCGTTTTATTTAAAAACGCTACAGTTGGTATCACAGTGTGAAGACAGTTGATTTATTAAAAAAATTAATTCAGCAGTGACTTAAAAAAAAGAAAAGATTTTTGAACTTTTGAAAATTGTTGTTCGTCGGGAACATTCGCGTAGTTTGGTAGTGATCGTTGTAGGAAAGAACATTTAAAAAAGTACGTGTGTGCCCGACCAAAGATACTGCTAGTACAACTTTCAGCAAAAGAGTTGTGTGAGCAACTAGAAGGACGCGATGAAGACTGCAGTATTTCAAAACATGATGCTAAAGAGACGTGAACCCAGATGTTGGAATGGTAACGACGTAGGTCACATTCGTCGTAAATTGCAAGAAAATAATACAACAGTCAGAAAGTAGAACAGATTGAACACTGGACTGGAAAAAGTTATTCAAATAGCTCAATCAAGATGGCCATATAGTGCAAATCGTAATCATTATCTTAAATTAGAAGAACGACTTTGCCCCGTGAGGCAAACCACCGTTAATAATGATCAATGGCAGTCTCAACAGCTACAAGACGCTCAAGCAGATGATCCATGTATAAAAAGAGTATTGGATTGGATGCGTCGAAGTGAAAGGCCTTCTTGGCAATACATTAGTGCATGTAGTCCTAAAGTCAAGTGTTATTGGAGCCAATGAAATTGCCTAGTGCTAAAAGATGATCTTCTTTATAGAACCTTTGAGAACGATGATGGTACAGAATCTAAGCTTCAGTTGATTGTACCTAAAAGTAAAGTGTCAGAAGTATTGCGTCAGTTACATGATGGTGCATCAGGTGGACACTTTGGTATTACGAAGACTTTGCAAAAGGTTCGAGAACGGTTCTATTGGGTGAATTGTAAAGATGATGTAAGAAGATGGTCTCGGAAATGTGAACTGTGTGCAACCAGTAATTATCCAGTTGGTAAAAAGAGAGCACCCATGAAATAGTACAATGTTGGTAGTCCTATGGAAAGAGTAGCAATCGACATTGCAGGTCCACTTCCAGTTGCGATACCAAATCAGGAAGCTGCTACCATTGCAGAGGTATTTGTTAAAGAATTCTTTAGCCGATTTGGTGTTCCCTTGGAGGTCCACTCCGACCAAGGGCGAAACTTCTAGTCAAACCTTTTCCAACACGTTTGTAAATTGATTGGTGTCAATAAGACCAGAACGACACCCCTGCATCCTCAATCAGATGGAATGGTCGAGAGGATAAACCGAACGATTGATAAACACCTTCCAAAGTTGTATCAGAACATCATAGAGATCGGGACCAGCACATTCATTTATTCCTAATAGCCTACCGCCCGGCCGTGAATAAAACTACAGACCAGACTCCAACCTGTCTAATGTTAGGTCGTGAAGTTCGTTTGCCCTGCGACCTAGAGTTTGGCTGCAGACCTTCCGAAGAACATGTTGTAAGCAAAGATTATGTGGACCGCCTAAAGTTTAAGAATGAACAACATTCATGAACTTGCCTGACAATACACCCAGTTAGCCAGTGACAGAATGAAAGATCAATACGATTCTCGATGCAAGTATGAAAGCTATGAAGTAGGTGATCTTGTTTGGCTTTATAATCCACACCGTCGTCGTGGCTTGTCTCCTAAACTGCAAAGACAATGGGAGGGTCCGTATGAAATTAAAAAGAGAATAAATGACGTAATATACCGAATTAAGAAGTTGCCGAAAGGTTAATCAAAAGTAGTTCACATAAATCCTCTTACAGAAGAAGCCCAAACCCTTCAACATGAGATCAAAGATGACCGGCGACCAAGCTTTAATGAATTTATGTCTAAATACGCAGAGAGAAAGAGTGCTAGATTCGGCGTGAACAAAAAAGTTCAGCAGGATCTTTTTAGTGTTCCGCATAAGTCTCCCTAGCCCACTGTGTTGCCCAAGATCTTGAGACGACGAAAGGAATCTCATTCGTATTTTATAAAAAGTTCGGTCGTTTGTACAAGTTAAAAAATCAGCAGCCTAAAGTTTGGAAAGTACTGAGATTAGATTGTCCTAGATCTTTGCTGTTTATGATGACCAGGAAGTCGTATACAGACAGGGCAACTTACGAATATATATGGCGTGCTCTAACTAATTTGAAGAAAATCGTCTGCAATTACGACATCAAGGATTTGGCCTTACCCAAGAGAGGCCATGCACTAAATAATCTGGATGGGAATATTGTCAGAAGCAGGCTTGAAGTGATCTTTCTAGAAACCAGCGTAAGAATTACTGTGTGTTGCATTAACCTCAAGGGATCATGTCCTTCAAAGTCAGTAGACTGTTATTTCTTATTGAGGGGGTCATGCAGAGCTGGAGAGGTCTGTAGATTCTGCCATCCTGGGCCTACATATAGAGATGCTCCTCGGATCTAAGAGGGGAGCAGTGTTACGAACATGCTTGCGGCATGTCCTATGTAACGGTTGCATCTCGAAAAGGCGCCGAGAACCTTCGCGATGTATCGAGCGCTGTAGAAATCCATTTGTGAAACAACGAATTAAGAAGTGGGACTACCCCAGAAGATTCGAGAATAATAATTTTTGGTATATATATGTAACGATGTTATGAGTGAGTTTAGTTGTTAAGGTATTACCGAATTGTGAACTTATAAATAAATATATTTATATAAATTCGAACAGCTCGTTTTATTTTAAAACGCTACAATAAATATAAATGTGTACATATAGAAGAAGTAATAAAGTAAGTTAAGGACATACTGGTACTGGAATGAACGAAAAGCGGACCTACTTATCATGAGAGGGATTAAAAAATAATCATGGACCCAAAACCTTTTGTTGATATAGCAAAAAACATAGGAACAAAAACGATATAGGACTGGATGCAACGAATGAAACGTAACCATTGGTACAAACAAATTAATATTAAATATTTATACATGAATATGATTACAACATCATGGTTGGTTAGCATAAGACTTAGAATATTTAAGGATCATCAACGCGAGTCCTACAACTTCGTAGAAGTGTTAGCAAAGGCCATAATAGAATTTGTTGAGCTGGGATGAAGGAACAACTTTAACCTAGGGATAAGCCACAATAGAACTCTTAGGTCCAGTGGAAGGCTTATTAAACGCCCACTTATATTGAACCTAACTTAACCTGAAAAAAGTTATAGTCTATAATATTAAATACTTTATTTTATATATTTTGAATTATTTCAAAAAAATATTTGATTTTTTTACACTTACCAGCAAGCCAAGTTGTAAAAGGGCATATTTTTTATTGTCCCTGTAGAATGCGTTATATATAGATTATGTTTATCTAAAAACCTGAAATAATATTAACTGTTTATTAATCAACTACTAAATTCTCTGAAATGTTAAAATTTTTGAAACAATGAGATAAACTTGCTTTATTTTTAGTTTTTGGAAATTGATTATTATAATATGTTAGACGCTACAGTGCAATAAAATACTAGCTATACCATTTTTCAAAGTAAAACACTTACACGTTACGATTTATACAAAGTGACCTCAATTGTATTTAAAATTTCCAGAGCATCAACCTTAGAGTTCAAAGTTTCCTAACACAGTAGTGACAGCACAGTGATCAGTGTAGTAGTGTCTGGGGGCTCGGGAGACTGAGACCTCGGAAGCCCTGGGGAAGGCATCAGAGAGGATGCCGAAAGCTCGGCAAAATGGATATCGACGCGGTTCAACCCGAAAGACTGGTGAGTTTGATATTAATTTTGGTAATAATATTAATCTTAGCTCTAGGTTTCATTGTACTAACCGCGGAAATCTTTCCAAACATATCCAAAAACCAAACATCTATAGAAAAGTAGTTATAAGTGTGTTAATTTAAAAAGACATGTAGCAGTCAATGATGTTAAATATGTAAAGAAGCTTACGACATTGGATATTAAATGAATATGTTGTATAAACAATTAATTGAAAGTAAATACAGTTTATAAATTAACTCAAACCTAGCACAGCAAAAGACCATGGGGTAATTGTACATGTATATAAAAAGTGTGTAAAAAAACTTATGTAAAAAACATTAATTTGCCGAGAACTAACAAGATCATAAGATCACACTTCCAACAGGATATTATTAGTTAAATTTAATTTTTATTTTAGGTAATATTATTGAAATGATTAAGATTGAAATAAGTAATATTAAAAAGTGTAATGGAGTTACCAGTTTTGGCCTCCTTAGCTGCTACCGGCGAAATGGGAGCAACGAGTTAGAAACCCAAGCCATCACGTGAAAAGATAGTGGCCTTGAGGTCAAAATATGACAGAACAGCAAGGCGAGTTGCCAACCGCTAGTGCAATAGAGCGGTAAATTTAAAGAATATGATAAGTTAGGTGACAACCTTGTCAGTACAAACCAAAAAATAAAAGAAAAAGGTGCTTAAAATCACCATTTTTCCATCAGTGATTGGTTCAGAGAAACAATGAACAAACAAGTGAGTTCGATCTAAAATATCACATATTATAAAAGTCTATGTGTAGCTGGTTAGCCAGCCACAGGTGAAGATTAAATTTAACTTCCAACAGTCCAAGGTTTATAATAATTTGGAACTGATATACTGATAACTAATATACTTATTTCACATATGTATATCATATATATATATATATATATACATATATATATATATTATATATATATATGTATATATATTATATATATATTTATATATATATTATATATATATATATATATATATATATATATATATATATATATATATATTATTGTTCTTAAAATTCATTTCTACTTATTGCATTGCAGTTGCTTATCTCAATGTTAAGCTTATTACTTTTAATATAATTATTATTATATGTATTTTAAAAAGACAAATTCATTTAGATCTCGTTAAAAACAAAACTACCAATATTCAGGTTCATATTAAACAATTGACATTTAAAAATCGATACCTTTTAATATTGCTATATTATCTAAAAAAGATATTTTATGAAAGCTTTAGATCCAGTAAAAACCAAAAAGAAAAAAATATTCAAAAATTCAATACCCAAAATTCAAAAACTAAAACTCGAAAAAGAAGTTATTGAAAAAGGTCTAATAAATTTCCTACTTACAAACTAAAACACTTCTCAATTCATTTTCTTTTTACCATATAAATGTCGGTTATTGGGTCAAATGATATATATGTAAAAATGCTGAATCTACAAGGCTAACAAACAAGACACGTATTGTAACAATAGATATGTATGCTGTACTTTTTAATTTTCCTAATAAAGTTTGCTAAACAACTATTTATTTAAGCAAAAAACACTGAATTTAAACTTCCTTAAACTTATTATTTAACTATAACTACAGTTGTATCGAGTAAGGCCTAAAGGACAAGTTATAAAGGCCTTAAGCTATCATTATTAGAATCTATCAAAATTAACAAATTAAAAAATTAAGATATAATTCTAAATGACCAACTTAAGACAAATGGTTCTTCTATCCTCAATTTATATATATATATATATATATATATATATATATATATATATATATATATATATATATATATATATATACTTAGAGTCACTCAACACGCGATGGAAAGAGCAATGCTAGGTATATCACTTAAGGACAAGAAAATTAACACATGGATAAGACAGAAAACCAAAGTCACCGATGTGGTGCAAAAATCATTAAAGTTGAAATGGGAATACGCTGGACATGTAGCTAGGTGCGATCTAAATAAATGGCACAGATCAATTTTAACCTGGAGACCATACCAACACAAAAGACCCAGAGGCAGACCTCCTATGAGATGGACAAATGATCTGAAAAGGACTGCCGGGAAAAATTGGGTACAAGTAGCGTACAATAAAAAACAATGGAAAGGAAGACTTGAAGAGGCTTATGTTCAGATGTGGACGTGAATGGCTAGACGAAGAAGAAGAAGAAGAAGATCCTCAACCTATATATTTAAAGACTATAAAGTGTTAGAAAAAAAAATAGTTCACTTGAGAAAGACACTCTAACGAAACTGCTGTAGTGATAGTAAATGACAATAAAATTTGTGGACGTGTTGAAAACAAAAGTTTTTAGTGTTTTATTCTTAGATAAAATGAACTTCCATCAAGTAATCATCGAATCCATCACAACTATTTAATTTATTAAATTACTCTTCCGCCATTTTATTAATCTAGGATATTATATCATATCACACAAGTCTAATCAATTAAATAACTAAAAATAAGGTAGGTATTGTAAAAATCAAAAAATTTCATAAAATATAATTACTAAAAGTAGTTGTAGTTTTACACACTACTTACCTAAAAAGGATCACCACGGGACAATGTATTACAAAACTTATTACTGATCCTAGTGCGGTAATTGCAAATACTTGAGGATACAATTTATATTCGTAATAATCTAAGCTGTCCTTTGGTTGAAAAACTGGTACGACATAAAAAAATAAAACCACCATAAATGTAGTTAGAAAAATGGATAATAATATGGTTAATCTTTTTATTCTACTCAGCATATCTTCCTGTTCACTAAAATAAAAGATATTTAACTGTAAAAAATTTAGAAACTAGAAACTAATTATTATTGCCAGTAATACGACCGTTCAGTTTTCAATGGCCTCTGAGTAAAATCAAGTATGACCTGTCTCTAGTAATACGACAGTCTTCGGGTCAAACGATCAAATAAATCATTTTTTGAAGCAAACTTGTAAACTGGCGTTGTATTACTTTTTCTCTATCGTAAAATACTAAGGCGAGCATCACAGAACTAGCGCCACGAAAACGCGTCACGAGTAGCATCACGAAATAGCTCTTTTTTGCAACTCAACTTGTAGTAGATATTCTGGACAAGGGCGCCAAAATAGTTGATTCTGTTTTTTATTCATTTATATGTGACATAGAACATTGTATATTAAACTGAATACACAAAAAATAACATTATAATATTCCTTTCTAAATTTCTAAAGTTATTTATATTTTTTACCTTTTCGAGACAATTTTCAAAGGATGAAAATATATAAAAAAATATACAAATTTACCTCCATAAAAAGATAGTGTGGATAATGGATGAATATAAATAATTTATTAAATTTTATAAATAAACATTTAAATAATTTTTTAAAAGAATGATTTTTGTGTTGAAAAGTTGGTGGTCACCATGTATATTTGTAAAATATATCGATTAGTTGCTTAATTAATGTTTGTTCAACTTCCTGAAAACTATAGATGGCCTAATATGTATTGAAAATGATTCCAGGACATGCCTGCAATCATTTCATCGGTTCAAATTTTATTTGCCAGCTTTCAAAAGTCAAAAGTTTTTGTTATATGCAGAGGGCAATACACTTATTTGATGAATCTTAGCATTTTAGTGCAAATATAAATATAGCTTCCGGACTAGTTTGGGACGCAGTCTATTATAAATTTTTACCGCCACACTAACTATAGTGTAATAATTTAGTAGCTGTCAATAAAACTATATTTTACTCCACGACTTCAACATTTTATTTTATCATCGTCGATCGAGAAGAATCATATACAGGGAAGTGAAAACAATTTGAAATTAAAATTACATTCGAATTTGTCTAGTTGGAGTACAAAAATATTTCAGTTGAACACAATACAAAATTTCGAATGGAATATAAATAAAATATGACACATTTACTAAATTGTTTTTTTCAACGTTTAAATTAACAAGTAAAGAGCTTTATAGGTGTTAAATAAATCACAAATTGTTGCCAAATCATAAATATAAATGTTTTTTAACTTATTAATACTTTAACTGCCAGATAAATTTAGAGGACATTTTTAACAGTCTGTGTTTGTTTTTAGTAAAACTTATAAAGTCAGACTTATTTCTGGGTTATTTTTGTAAAAACTACTTTTTCCTCATATGGTTCACGCGGCTTGCGATTGTGAAATTGTTACTAATATTTAGTTGCAGGCCAAGAGTACCACATAATATAGACACTGAAGGTCAAATAGTTTGTTGTATCTCCAGTAAGAGAGTCACACGAGTTAGATATTTCAGTTTATTATTTACTTCCGAAGGAAGCGTATCGTCGACTTCACGATTAGAAATCCAAATTCAATATGATTGTCAGGGCAGACATTTTGTAGTTCGTGAACACTTGATAGTAAGCGGCTATATATTTAGCACACAAATTTACTTCTCAATTATCACTTTTGTCGGTTATATCTGATATAAGTCCGAACTGGATAAAGTATACTCATCTTGTTGCGAAATTTATTATTTAGTACCACGTGCAGCTTATTACTGTCCTTGAAATATATCTGAATGTCAAGAAAGGGACTAACGAACAGTAATATCTTTTTTGAAAGTAAAATTCTTATTGTAATACGGCAACAGTGTTAAAACTCGCCCTGATAAATATTAAAACAAGGTGGTCAGAAGTATTTCATGAGCGCACCGTTGGGTAACCTGGCATTAAAACTAACGTTAAGTACATCTATTCATAAACCGGATAAAAGGTAGTGGTTTTTTGTGAAAAAAAAAAATAAATGATTAAAATCGGTTTATGAGAAATTACGTAGAAGAAAGCAAAATATTTTTATAGAGAACGTTGCGGCATTGTGTGGTGATTTAACAAAAGTATCAGTTTATATGGTTTTCTAAATAATTCAAGGTAATAAACGACTTTCATAAAAACCTATTCATAAAGGACATACAAAAATTGCATTGGACGATATTACAAAAAGTATAATCCGAAGAAAAGTTTATGGATTTTATTTCAGTAACGAAATACCCACGTTAAAGGCTATTTAACGACAAATTTATGTAGAAGCAGATCCCTAATAGCACACGTACGTCCAATGGACGTCCATAGTACGTCCCTCACGGACTTTAAGGACGTCCCTCGGACGTCCGCTTTGGTCCTATTTACGTCCGTTTAACGTCCTATATTGGTCCGAATGTCGCTGCGCCGAACGTCCTATGGACGTCCATTTTACGTCCCGAGCGGACATTAGTTGGACGTACCGGGACGTTAATTGGACCTTAATCGGACGTCCATAATACGTCCAGAGGACTTACTTGACGGACTTTTGTGATGTTCTAGGACGTCTATTTTAGTGCTGAGGATATAAATTAGACGTCAACGCCATTGTATAAAATACTAAAAGTGGTGTCATCCTGTGCATATTAAGAATGTATTTTGGGAAATAAAACGTAAATGTTTAAAGGAACTTACATTTATTTATTATTAACAAATGGGACAAATCCCCTGTCCAAATTATACAAAAATGCAACATTATAGAAATATAAAATAATTTTTAGTAATAAAACATAAATGTTTAAAGGAACTAACATTTATTATTACATATATTTATTTATTCATAACAAATGGAACAAATTCACTGTCAAAATTATACAAAAATGGAACATTATAGAAATATACACAAAATTACAGATAAAAATAAAACATACATGAATAAATAGGTACACATTTATAAAAAGTTTCATTTAGCATTTTAGTGCTTCAAATAGTACCTAAACCTATTGATACAAAAGTTTCAGACCATATCTATGTGTGAATCATAATTAGTTCTGCAGTAAGGAACATGGATATATAAATACTGACACAGTGAATGGGAGGAATATTAAAACAAACTAGCTGAAGCAATTCAGGAGATTGGTTATTTTATGAACAAGTTTAAAAATAAAGATTAAAAGGTAACACTTTTGATAAGAGAATCCAGATTCAAGAAATTGATCATACCCGAATAAGAATATGGTCTACACAATTTGCAAGAACAGTAGATACGATAAGTCAGTATAAATTTAATCGACATAAAAAATGTTTTTTAATGCAATTATAACATAATAAGTGTAAATTAGTAGAAGTTGAACAACTAGACAGTAAGTGAACCATGCTGACCAATATGAAGCTGATTCTTCAGATTTATTGTCAAAAAATCAGTCAGTAAAACCTCGAAAATTTTAGGAATAGTAGAAAGAATTATAATGGAACGATAATTAGGAATCTAATTAAAAATCCTTTGTAATAGGTATATATTTAAGGCCCAAACCGGCTAAGTTAAAAAGACAAAACGTTTTCGGAAACCATGTTCCATCATCAGTGTCTACTGATGACAGACATCATCACAGACAGACTAGACACTGATGATGGAACATGGTTTCCGAAAACGTTTTGTCTTTTTAACTTAGCCCGTTTGGGCCTTAAATATATACCTATTACAAAGGATTTTTAATTAAATTTTTAATACATGTTATACAGCCAACTACAGGAACGTAGATTCCTTGTGAATTTTATTTGACGGTATGGTCAACTTGGCTTCTCAGTACATAGACACTGATGATGGAACATGGTTTCCGAAAACGTTTTGTCTTTTTAACTTAGCCCGTTTGGGCCTTAAATATATACCTATTACAAAGGGTTTTTGATTAAATTTTTAATACATGGTATACAGCCAACTACAGGAACGTAGATTCCTTGTGAATTAGGAATCAATAAGTTAATGGCTGAATCAATGGATAAAATCAATAAATAAATTGTGATGAAAAGTGACCCTCAGAGATTTATAAAAAATAAGCCATAGAGGCTTACATAAAAAGAATGCACAATTCCTTAAAAATAAGTTACGATATTCCATCTGGACCAAGACCTTTATTGGTATTAAGACACTGTAAGCATGCTAGAATGTCACAAATTTTAATAGTTAAAGAGTAAATATGGCTGTGACTCATATGGGATCTTTGACTACACTTGTCTACACAGGAGAAAGAAGGATTGTGAATACTGCTAAAAAAATTGGCAAAATAGTTGAAATTGTGGCTCACTAAAAACAGAACCATTCAACTTCCCTTATCCATTCCCATTCTGATTTACCTTACAAGTGTGTGGTCGGCAATTGAAAGCAGACAAGTTAATTGTTGAGTTTTAAAGTTGAAATCATAAGTATGAAAAAGATCAATACTTAATATGGAACTTTGCTTTATTTCAGCAGTAGATACTGTTTTAGGTACCTATTTTTAAATAATAAAACAGTCTCAAAAATTGACTGTTCCTTTCTGTGCACCAACCACACAATTTAATCATTACAAAATTAATCATATTTGCTAATGCAACATGCAAATTAAATTTTATTTGCCTCCTCTTTACATCTCAGATATTTCATTATCAAGTTTCAATTTCCTTCTCCATGGCAACACTGGTCTTGGAGTTTTTTCAGGCAGCATCTGAAAACAAAATTAATGTACTATAATGTAATGTAATAAATTGAACAAATTAATTTCAGATTTAGTTCATTATACTTTGCTTATTGTAAATAAATCATCATTCAAAGGCGTATGATTAAACAACTGAATTTCAAGTGCTGCAGTTTTAATGGATCTCACCTGAACTAGAAGAATACCAACAAAACCATTGGTATTTATTTCTAATGACCAAATGAGCAGTAATTACACTTTGATACTTAAAAAACAAAAAGAACAGTGTATAAATAAAATATATACAGCCAACAACAAACCTTCATCTCATATAGCTAAG